ATCGCCATTCAAACAAACAAACCGTTCCCCCTCCTCCGGCGCCGCGCCCGGGACCGCCCCCGAGAGGCCACATAAAACCGCGCTCCCAGAGCTGAGCGCGCAGCGAAGGACTGGCGGGCGGGGCGCACAGTGAAACTAGATTCAGAGCAGCGAGCACTTGGGGACTTAGGGCCACAAGGATACCGCGTCGGACCGACAGATTGTTTTTGGAGGGCCGCGGGACGGGCACGCTGGGGTCGCTGGGGCTGGCCATGGTGATGGAGGTGGGCATCCTGGACGCCGGAGGGCTGCGCGCGTTGTTGCGAGAGCGCGCTGCGCAGTGCCTGCTGCTGGACTGCCGCTCCTTCTTCGCCTTCAACGCCGGCCACATCGCGGGCTCGGTGAACGTGCGCTTTAGCACCATCGTGCGGCGCCGCGCCAAGGGCGCCATGGGCCTGGAGCATATCGTGCCCAACGCCGAGCTGCGCGGCCGCCTGCTGGCCGGCGCCTACCACGCAGTGGTGCTTTTGGACGAGCGCAGCGTCGCCCTGGAGGGCGCCAAGCGCGACGGCACCCTAGCCCTAGCTGCGGGCGCGCTCTGCCGAGAAGCACGCACCACTCAAGTCTTCTTCCTCCAAGGTACGCGCTCGTTCTGGCAGGACCTCTGCCATTAGCTGGGAAAGGGTCGTCCCACCTGGAGTGCCCGTGTCCAGTCTCCAGGGACTTGTCACTGGCTTTGTTTGGCTCCAGGAACAAAGACTTCCCTGAGCCTTCTATGTAAACTCGCATCCTCTGGTGGGTGGGTGACTTGTCTCCAGGTACTGTGTCGGTGATGCTAATGGGAAAATGTGTTCCTTTGTGTTCTCAGGAGGATATGAAGCGTTTTCGGCTTCCTGCCCCGAGCTGTGCAGCAAACAGTCCACCCCCATGGGGCTCAGCCTCCCCCTGAGTACTAGTGTCCCTGACAGCGCAGAATCCGGATGCAGCTCCTGTAGCACCCCTCTCTACGATCAGGTTAGTAAGAGTCCCCGTCTATGTGGGGGGGTGGGAGGGGGTGGCAGAGGTCTGGAAGGGCTGTGTCAGGGAGAATACAGAAAGTGGCTGCAGCTTTAGTTATACTTGAGGGGACATGGGAATTTTTATTCCACAGTGAAGCGATTGGATGGAGCTGAGTCTCCCAGTTGCTGGCATATAAGAGCTTGTTGGCTCTGTCCAAGCCAATGGACCTAATTCTTTATTATTATTTTAATATGCCGTCTATGCTGAGGTCACCAGTGTCTGAAACTCCCTTTTTCAGTAGGGAGTTTTTGTGGGTGTGGGTACTCTGTTAACTCTGAACAAGCTTGATGAATGCTGGACTGTTTTTGGATTCCAGGGGGGCCCAGTGGAGATCCTGTCCTTCCTGTACCTGGGCAGTGCCTATCATGCTTCCCGGAAGGACATGCTTGACGCCTTGGGCATCACTGCCTTGATCAACGTCTCGGCCAATTGTCCTAACCACTTTGAGGGTCACTACCAGTACAAGAGCATTCCTGTGGAGGACAACCACAAGGCTGACATCAGCTCCTGGTTCAACGAGGCAATTGACTTCATAGGTAAATGAAGGTGTCTGGGACTTCTGCTTTCTGTCCTCACTGTAACCATTGAGTCCAGCCTCTTGGGTGATGGCTTGATTGACCCTCACCTGAGCCTTCTTCCTCACGAGTAGCAAAGCCAGACTCAGATAGCTGAACTGACTGACTTGCCCAGGATTATAAGTGGAAATACCTAGTCTGGGTTTAAATCCCTTGCTATCCCTTACACAATGCACATACGAAGTCCATATGATAGCACGAAGCTGATCCTTAGCCATATCTGGACAGGTCACACGAGACATTTCTTAGACATTTGACCTGGGCTTGGGCTGGTCTCCTGAATTTTTGAGTAACCCACCACTTTGTTTTCCAGACTCCATCAAGGATGCTGGAGGGAGAGTATTTGTCCATTGCCAGGCCGGCATCTCCCGGTCAGCCACCATCTGCCTTGCTTACCTCATGAGGACTAACCGAGTGAAACTGGACGAGGCCTTTGAATTTGTGAAGCAGAGGCGGAGTATCATCTCTCCTAACTTTAGCTTCATGGGCCAGCTGCTGCAATTTGAGTCCCAGGTGCTGGCCCCGCACTGCTCTGCTGAAGCTGGGAGTCCTGCCATGGCTGTCCTTGACCGGGGCACCTCCACCACCACTGTCTTCAACTTCCCCGTCTCCATCCCCGTCCACCCCACGAACAGTGCCCTGAACTATCTTCAGAGCCCCATCACGACCTCCCCCAGCTGCTGAAGGGCCAGGGGAGGTGTGGATATTCTCGTGCCACCGGGACGCCACTCCTCCCATGGGAGGAGCAATGCAATAACTCTGGGAGAGACTCATTTGAGCTGGTCCTTATTTATTTAAGCCCTACCCCCTCCCCTCCCGAGTTCCACTGGGTTCCTAAGCAGTCATAATAATGACTACTGCAAGACATTTGCTGAACTCAGCATTCGGGTCCAATATGTTGTGGGTACATCAAGTCCCTCTGACAAAGCAGGGCAGAAGAGAAAGGACTCTGAGCCAGTTTCTTCACTTGCCCATTTTTTTTTTTTCTAGAAACTTCATGCTTGACATACCTACCAGTATTAACCATTCCCGACGACATACACGTATGAGAATTTTACCTTATTTATTTTTGTGTAGGTGGTCTGCCTTCACAAATGTCAGTGTCTACTCATAGAAGAACCAAATACCTCAATTTTTGTGTTTGCGTACTGTACTATCTTGTAAATAGACCCAGGGCAGGTTTGGTTTCAACACTGGTGGACAAAACCGGTGTTGGTTTGTAGTTTTTAGTTGTCAACAGTTGTATGTTTGCTGATTATTTATGACCTGAAGTAATATATTTCTTCTTCTAAGAAGACATTTTGTTACTAGGATGACTTTTTTTTATACAACAGAATAAATTATGACGTTTCTATTGAGCTCTTGATGATTCGTTTCTTTGGCAACCCTACTCTTGAGCAAGTATCATAGTGAAAAATTGAACCAGCACTGCTAGGATGTGTGTGGGGTCTGATCCTGTACCTCTTTGGTGACCCATGGGTTCCACAAGATGACTAGGTTGCCACAGAGGCATGCAGGTGAAGTGTATGAAATACTAGGGGCTGTTACCCAGATCTTAGTATAGGGTCAAGGTGTACCAACAGTCAACATCATCTGCCATGTCACCCCAGGAGCTCGAGTGTCCCCAGAACCATTTGCCTTAATTAACTTTTTTTTTTCATTAACATCGTTGGGAATCATGGACAAGATCTCCCCTCCCTGAGCTATTTGCAGAATGCCCAGGTTAATGTGTTCTTAATGTGTATGCACAGCATGGGATTAGCCTCTCCTCAGAGAGACTCTGGTGCTGTACAGGTGAGGATGTGAGGCTCCAAGTAGCTGAGCAGCTGGATCAGGGGATTAGGCACTGCATTTTGTTTTCTAATCCTATGACCTGTGAACTTTGTCACTTGTCTATAACATATAGTCAGTTTGCTTTGGACAATGCTTTTATAGCTTTAAAAATAATGCATCAAATGAAAAACAAATCCAAGTACTAAATGCATGTACAGGGAAGAAATTACTTGCACCTCCCCTGCTAGTTTTTGGAGGGTGTGCATACCAACCTCTGCATAGAAACAACATTTTTGGCAACTGTCTCCTTCAGATCACTTGCTACTCTACATACCTGTGTTGAAGACATAGGCAATTATGTCAGACTTGCTTTAGGGCAGGACTCTGGATTTTCACCCCTGCCAAGCAGGCTAAGGCTGGGAAGGTATAATTGAATACCAACCCATAAATCCAGTCTGTAATGTCAAATGGCATAACAGCAAAGCCCTTGGGTTCCTGGCCCCTGTGTGCCCACTTTTCTGCCTCCTATTTGTAGAGTAAGTGCTGCTCTATGTAGAAAAGGAAGCGTCCCATCCATATTTTCTAGAATTGGCTGGTGCCATGATCCTCACGCAGACTCATTGTTCAAGCCTTGACACAGAACTTGCCCTTGACCTCTTCCTGCCTGCCACTTGGCATCCAGGTCTGAAGATCCTTGTGTTCTAAGACAGAAAAACTTATCCTGGGCTGGCAAGCTCATATCCTTGGCTGGGTTTTGGACAAGTATATTCATGCCTTCAAAACAAACCAGATGCATTATTTTTATCAAGCCCTAGATATTTGCTATTGTGAATTGTTCCCTGCGTGGAAATGTACCAGCAATGGCGATTCCGTGGCAGATTCGGAGACTGCCTTTCCCGTGGGCCAGAGTCTCTGCTTTCAACTTGGCAGTCACTGGCTGAACCCAAATTAGTCTCCAGTGTGATCCAGTCAATGGAAAAATACAGAGGCTACCTCAGGGAGCTGCCAGGGAAAACAATTCACTCACTTCTTGACTTTCTAGCTGCTCACCTCACAGCCCAGACAAGAAGCTACCCCTCTCACAGGTCACCTTTGCTCAGGTCCTCTAGAAAACATCATGCTTGGGACAAAAATCAGTATGTCAGGATGAAAAGAAAGTATTAAAATATTAGTTTCCCAGAGAGAGTTGATATGGACCCTACTTAATTACTTAAGGCTTACCCAGTAGTGACAGCTATCAGTTTGGGGGCTGCCACTGAGTTCCAAGGTCCACCACATGTTTCGCTTGTGTTCACAGTCTTTAACATCACATCCATTTCCCAGAGGAGGAGGCAAGGCTGCAGATTCAGTGTTCTACCATAAGTAGATGGTCTTGCTGGAGTCTCAGTGAAGACTGGCCTAAGTTGCTAAACAAGAGTTTTGTAGCCTTCTGTGTTCTGCATGGTTTTACCCCTGAATTTTTGGGTGGAAAAACTATACCCCTCAAGGCCCCAGTTTCTTCCTCCAAGCAACAAAGAGTGACTGGCGTATTGACTGAGGGCTGTAGAGCAGCAACTAGATCCCCTTGTCCCCAATGACGTCTGGTTTTCCCACCCTATGAAATGACCAGTTTGCCCTGGATCTGAAGAGCTGGTTTCATCCCAGCTCTTTAATTCCAGGTTGTGGAAAAGGCATGGATGATGGATGCCTGCTCTGTGCTTTTCTGTGGTTTCCAGGCATCCATCAGATGAGACTTCAGCCTCCACCACCTCCACAGTATCCTTTCCTTCCCTTTCCAGGGAACTTTGCAAATTGAAGCTCCCTTGTTTTGCACTAGCAGCCTCTGGCATCCATTTCCCCCTCTCAGCGTATCCAGGATGACATCATGGTGCCTACACCTTTAAGATTATATAAATCTGTGATCCCGCAGTGGCCTCAGTCCCCATGGTAACAGCGGAGGAGTTTCCCTTTTGTGAGGAAAGCTGTCATGTCACTTCCTGCTGCTGACAAGTCAGTTTGGGAGATTAAAATGAAGGGGGGCGGGGTGCCTCTGAGAAGTGCTGGCTGCATGGTTTCTGTTGCTGTATACAGAGGCAAACAATGTCAGTTTGCTGGCCCCGCCTGCTATGCTGGAGCTGGCTTTCCCACACCTCCTAGCGGGTGGATCCTGGTCACCTGGGGCTGTTTGTCTCTAAAGGTTGCATTCTGGGGAGCAGGTAGGAAGGCTGCCCACCGCTGGGGACTTTTTTTTTTTTTTTCCTGAGGCTGTGCTGGACAAGTTTGTTCAAGAACAGCCTGGTATAGCCCAGCCTGGGTTCTACTGTGTCAGCTCAGGACTGGGTTTTGTTCCAGAGAGAACAAAGGGTCCTCATGGCACTGGCCTCATAGGGTTGACTTGCAGAGAAGTTCTGCTAAGGAAAGCACCTAAAAACCCCCACCTTCTAATGAGCTTTTAAAGCTAAGAGCCGTTCCACTCTTCCATTGCCTCATTCATTGATCAGCCAGCCAAGAGCATCCGAATACTCCACAGACCTCTGTTTGTCGCAAGACAAAGTACTAGCTCGTAAGAAGCAGCAAAGGGGATGCATGTGTCAGCAAGGAGACAAGAGATGTGGATTATGAATACGGATGATGCTATGGAGCTGGGTTGGTAAAAAGAGGACATGCCAGGTGTGGCTGTTGAGGCACAAGTTGCTCAGAGGAGTCATGAGCCACACCGAGGCCTGAATGGTGAGCTGGGAAAAAGGGGTTTAGCTCACAGGGCAGCAAAACTGGAGCTTTGAACAGACCCTCTGTGGACAGGGGACAGAGGGTCACATGAGTCAGTTATACCCGTGTTTAAGTCCCAGATTTTGACAGTATCTTGTCAAACTCTTTTTTTTGTTGTTGTTTGTTTTTTGGATTTTTTTGTTTTGTTTTGTTTTGTTTTGTTTTGGTTTTGGTTTTTCGAGACAGTATTTCTCTGTGTAGCTTTGGAGCCTATCCTGGCACTCACTCTGGAGACCAGGCTGGCCTCGAACTCACAGAGATCCGCCTGCCTCTGCCTCCCGAGTGCTGGGATTAAAGGTGTGCGCCACCAACGCCCAGCCTTGTCAAACTCTTGAAGCCTCAGTTTCCCATCTGTAATATGGTCCAATCACCCCTCAGCCCTCAAGGCACTTTGGTTTAATGAAAGGCACATTAGTGAAGCTTGCAAGGGTGAGTCCACTGGTCCCCATTCTGTCAATGAGCATTGGTACCCCTCCCTGAACAGAGTGCCCGAACAGAGGGAAACAGGGGTGAGCTGTCCTGCCATTGTCATGACACCAGCCTGCATTCATGTAATGCCTGTCTCTAAGCCTTGCCAGCAGAAGTGGCCTTGCTCTGAGATCACACTGCCCTGCCCCTCTGACCTGGGCCAAGGTACCTCCCTGTCAGAGCCCCAGTTTCCTCATCCAGAAGAGGCATCTGAAATGTCATCCAGCTCCCTTTCCTGTTCAACTCCTAGTAATAAGCCACCTCCATCCTCAAGGCCAGGAAATCTGCCATCCTGGGCTTTGCTCAGGTTGTCTATACAAAACATAGGTTAGGAAGTAGGATGCACTCTGAGAAGGTACAGCACAGGGGCCTTTGGAAAATGGCTTAGTGTAGTGGATACCTGACTGGTCCTCCTGAGAATGGGCTCCCCAAGAGGGTCTGTATGTAGACATCACCACATGCTCCCAAGTCTCCATGCCCTGGACCACACCACACAGATGGGATTATAAATATCCACCACAACTGACATCAGTCACTCACTCATCCCTTCAGTAAGTCTGAATTAAGTGCTAATGGTGTGTTGAGCATTCAAAGGACTAAAAAACTGAGAAAGAATTCTTGCATTGCCCTATCAACTGGTATCTGGCTGTCCATGGAACATGTCTCACCTCAAAGTCCCAGTCTCCGAACCTCTATAAGACAGTAATCAAGGATTTGCTTCTGCTAGGTGTCAAAGTGAAACAGACATGGACGAGGCACTTGCCACTCTATAAGAACACGCATAGCTCCTTTGACTGTTCTTGTTGTTAGTGACTCACAAGAAAAAGGTAGGAAAGAGTATAGAAACACATACTGACAGTCTCCGATATTCAACTCTGCTCCAGGTGTTTGTTTAGATGCAGGTTGAAGTATCCAGTAGCTCCCTAGACACAGTCATGTGTCTAATAGGCACCCAAGCCTAGCAACTCCAAATGCGTACCTGGATTTACCCCTAACCCAGGCTCCTTCTGCAGGAATTTCCACCTGTTCACGGCATCTCACACCTCACATTTAATTCAACAGCAAACTGAGACAGGGCTTTCTTCAAAGCATATGCTTTTCCCAAATAAGCCAGTCCTATCATTTCTAAAATGACCCGCATGACACAGGAACCTCACACCTTACCTGTATTACTGCAGTAACCTGAGCTGTCTATTGGGCTGTTCGGCTGGTCTGCAGACTCTAGGCCAGAAAGCGAAGCTGGCCTTTGCTTTTAGTGTTGATCTGAGGACTGGCTCTCTCCGTTGCTGTTTGCCAGCAAGTGTTTTTCTTTACCTTCATTACTCAAGAATATTTCACTGAGCAAAGAATTTCAGTTTTGTTTGTTTGT